TGTCTCCCTTTTACTGATTTGTAAGAGAAGATGGAATAGTGTCAAGTTTCCCTAGGTGAGCTTGAGTTTGGTATTAGGCAAGAATACTTCATGATAAGGGTTGTCAAGCCCTGGCAATGAAAGCCCAGGTCACTGGTGCAGTTGTAATTCCTTGAGGGATTTAGAAGCATTTAATGAAAATGTGGTGTTGGGGGTTAAGTTTCATGATGGCCTTGGAATCAATGCTGGAACAGTTGGATTTGATGATATTTTACATTTTGGTCTTCTAGAAACAAAACATTTCTAAGATYGGTGGCCATCATGGACCTTGGTTTAAAGTTGGTCCCGATGTCAAGAGTCTTGTGTAGCTGAACTGATTCCATGGGAGTCAGTGGCACCTGTGCAAGGGAGCAGAGGCCAAGGGGAGCAGCAGCAGATGAGGGRTGAGCCAAGGCTTTTGGGGTCTCGAGTTGTGTCAAGTGCCAAGGGTTGAGGTCGGTTCTCTTGGAGGATTTGTTTGGAGGAAATGGAGCTTGACTGAGCTCTGTGTGTGCTCTGTCCCAGCCTGGGGATGGGGCCAGGGCTGTGTCTGGGATTGAACTCAAATCTTTTGTGAAACCTTTGAGACTCCTTGCCATTCACTGCTCCCAGAGTATCCAGGTCTCCTGAGAGCGCGGGGAGTGTTGTGAGAGTGGCTAAGGAGCTGGGCCCAGAATCTGATGATGAGTTACATGAACTCCAGAGGGAATCAAGTCTCCGTGGAAGTAGGTCAAGAGTTGTATTCATGAGGCAAACCCTCAACAATAATGAGGGCAGTGGGACTGTGAAAAAAGACCCGTGCAGAGGCAAAAAATACTGAAAGGCCTGGAGAATCTTTCCTAGAGGAGAAGCTGAGAGAGCTGGGACTGCCAGTAGACAAGRCTCGGCAGGGGAGTGTCATGAGTGTGTGCAAATCCCTGATGGCGGGGRATGAATTCGAGGCTTCCCAGCTGTTCTCAGCAGTGCACAGGTCCAGGACAAGAGGGCAATGGACAAGTGAAACCAGGTGGAATTCCATGGGCAAAGAAGGTAAGATTTTTTCAATGTGAGGATGGTCACAAGTGGAAGAGGTGGTAGAGTTTGTGTTGTGCAACATCCAAAGTTGAACTGTCCGTGGTGCTGCAAATCCTTCTTTTGTTGACTCGGCTTGAGCAGGGGATTTAAAGCAGTCGCACTGCAGAGTTCCTGCCCAAGTGGTTGATTTTGTTCCCCTTTTTGCTGGAAGTGCTTGAGAGTCATGTTGGGGAGAGGTATGCCAAGTGCATGCTGCAATGGAGGGACTTTACCAGAACCACTGRTGAGCAGGAGTGCACTGATGTGTGAAATCCTTTGGTGCAGCCAATGATGTGCTTGGGTCATGTTCTGGAAGATCCCCCCACAACTCTGTTTCTCATTCCAGTCTTGATTGTTACCTTAGGGACATATTTTCAAAGAAGTCTGTTGTGCCCTCTTCTATCCACCCCACTGCCAGGTTCAAAATGATGAGGAGGCATGTAAGGCTTTGATGCAATGAAACTTTATTGGGTAAAAGAATGGTAAAAGAATGAAAAGGCAGGAGAAAGAAGGTAAAAAGAGCATGTCTGAAGTGCAAGTGCAGAAACCATCAGCCAAGCGTTTTTGCTTTCAGAAGTTGTTGCCAGAGCCCTGAGCTGGTGGTGTCAGGGGTGGTGCTGAGGGCCCTTAGCAGATGTTGCAGCCCCTTCC